AAGAGAGAGAGCAAAAATAAATATTAAAATTCTCTCTCTCTCTCTCTCCCTCTCTCTTTAAAAAAAAAAAAATCAAGGCCTGAGGATGTAGCTTGGTGGTCAGGATGCAACTTGATTAAATCCCTAGCACAGCAACAAGAATAACAGGAGGAGGAGGAGGAGGGGGAGGGGGAAGGGAGGGGAAGGGGAAGGGAGGGGAGGGAGGAAAAAAGCTGGGACAGGGCCTGTGGGTCTACCAGGGCCTGAGGGTCCACCAGAGGCAAGGGCTTGAGCAGCCTGGGAGAAGGCCTAGCAGAGCCAAAGCCCCCTACCTGTCAGGGTCCATGGGCATGTGTACCAGGTATGCTAAGTAGTGAGGAAGTTCCTGGAGATGGGCCTCTAGGAACCAATCCTTGTTTATTATAGATGTTTTTTCGTTAAAAGAAGAGACTTAACCAACAGCTTCAACATAATGGGCAGAGAGGGAGTGACTGAGGTCAAGTATGGTACAGGGGGCCTTTCCTACTGTGCTGGTTGTGGCTGCTCAGTTGCTCACCTTGGTAGTGAACCACTTCTCAGACCAAAGGCTCCTGAATGGAATAGTGTAAGCTGACAAGATTAACAACGCCTAGGTGGCCCAGGAGCCCAAAGGAAAGTGACTGAGACAGCAAGGGCAGGGACCAAGACTGTATTGTGTGATTGATGTGAACTGCCCAGAATGTGCAAAGTGGTAGTGAAGTTATATTAGTGGGGAACAGGAATTGGGACAGCGACTCACAGTAAATGGGTCAAGGGAGCCCACCAGAAGGATGGAAATGGAGGGTGGCGAGGTTACACCACAGGGTAAATTTTACCAAGGATGGTTGAATTATTCACTTGAACTGAAAGAGCAAAGGTAGCATCTAAGGGTGTGAAGGCTTGAGGCCCACATCCTAGGGGCAGGGAATTTCTAGCCCCTGGGCATCCAGTGAAGGTCCTTCCTGAGTTGCTCCTTTACATATGAAAGCTCTTTAAACCTTTTCTAACTTTCAGACCTTCTTTGCCTCCACCCCTCTCAGTAGACTCTTAATCTCTGGATGCCTTTACTTTTCTGGTAAATGCTAAAGGCACCAAGCCTAGTCCCACCCATTGCTTCTACCACCTCCACAGAACTCTCCTGGGACTCCAAACTACATTATTAGGAATGTCAACTCAAGTCTTGAGGTTCCCATTTATTTCCTCTGTGGCTCAGCCCTCCTCTGCTGCTACTTGCCTTGCCAGAGTCCCCTTTCAGAATCTACCCCCATCTGCCTCTTATGGGGAGGAGTTTCCATGGAGCATGATTAGCAGGCTCCATGAATCCTGAATCCTGGGACTTGCATCCCACATCTGGCACAGACCAGGCTCACAGAATGGGACTTGGGTATTCGTTTTTTCTTCTAGACAGTAATAGCCAGAGAGGGTGACCCTGGATGATGAGCTCGCCTGGTAGTGATGCAGGATGGAGAGAGGCTGTGAACAGACACAGCTAAGGGGCCCTGGAGGATGCCTTGGTGGATGCCTTTGTCCACTGATCCATGCCTCAGTCAGTGATAGACCCAACTCTGATCTTTTCTTTTCTTTTTTTTTAAAGAGAGGGAGAGAATTTTTTTTAATATTTATTTTTTAGTTTTCAATGGACACAACATCTTTGTTTGTATGTGGTGCTGAGGATCGGAACCCGGGCCGCATGCTCGCCTGATCTTTTCTTAAAAATTGGGAGCCATCTTGCCACAAAGCCATGAAAAGATAATTTTGGCTTTACTGAAAATTACTGCAAATTCTGAACCTGCTCGGAATGCCTGCCCGGGCCTTGAACTCACCCCTGCCTGGCTCTCTGACCAGATAGCAGCTCTCTCTGAAACTTTAGTGACACCTCATAAATATTGGCCTTCTCTGGCCAGATAACAACCCTCTCTGAGGCTCTAATGGTCCTCATAAATTCTGATGTTGGGGCCAGCAAAAAATGTAAACTACCATTAGTGTGATGCTGTCAGAGTTCTGTTATCTCTAACCCCCCTTTGTGTAACTTTCTGGGCTATAAAGCTGAGCTGCAGGAAAGCTGCTGTTGCTGTCTTGTTTCCCGCGGTTTGGGGTGGGAGAGGCAACCCGGCCAGTCGAAATAATAAGCTTGCTTTAATTTGATTTTAATTGGAGTCACTGGTCTTTTCTTGTGTCCTGGTCTAACATCAGCTCAGAGAGCCCAGTCACTCTGGAGCTCAATTTCTTCTACTCCTTTCAGATCTGTTTGGTACCTACTTCTCCCATCTTGGGCCTGGCCTCAGATTTTCAATATTTACAGGCCACATAGCTCTTCCCTGGTTCCTTAAACTGTTGTCCTCCACTGCACTCATTCATTCCTCAGAACACTCACATGAGCTGGGCTCAGTGGCACATGTCTGTAATCCTAGGGAGACTGAGGCAGGAGGATCACAAGTTTGAGGCCAGCCTCAGCAAATTAGTGAGACCCTGTCTCATAAAAATAAAAAAAAAGGACTGGGGATGTGGCTTAGTGGTTGAGCACCCCAATTCAATTTCCAGTATCTAGTGCAAAGCAAGAAAGTACAACCACTACAATAAGGTCTTGGGAAAAAGAAGCAAAATAAATATCTGTTTCAGGCTTGTGACCCTGGAGGCCACAGTTCTTGGGTGCCCTTGACTGCCTGAGAGTGGTCAGGGGCTGGGGATGTGGCTCAAGCGGTAGCCCGCTCGCCTGGCATGCGTGCGGCCTGGGTTCAATCCTCAGCACCACATACCAACAAAGATGTTGTGTCTGCTGAAAACTAAAAAATAAATATTGAAAAATTCTCTCTCTCTCTCTCTCTCTCTCTCTCCTTTCTCACTCTATCTTAAAAAAAAAAAAAAAAAAAGAGAGAGTGGTCAGTGTTTGGTTCTTCCCACCCAGACCCCTCCTGACCTCCTGGGCCTCCATCTTCACGTCCTTCTCAATCACCAGACCTCTTCCTTCAGGGCTGAGACCTTGGCTGAAGCTACTTGGGTTTTCTCCTTCTTACCTTGAGTTGATTGGGCAGACCTTCTGAGTTTGCCGCCTAGGTAGGTCCTTTGTCTTCCCTGTAGTCCCTTTTACATGCCGGTGGGACCTGCCTCTCTCCATACTACCATTCTGCAACTCAGCCCATAGTTCCTCGGCCTGCCTTGCCCAAGGGAGAACTACCCTCCTTCCACCACCCTTGCAGTTGCCCTTCCCAAACTCAGCTGGGCCTCCTCCAGTCAAGCCTCTCACTTTGACCCTAAGGCCCAGTGCTTGTAGGATGGAGTAGTGACAGCTCCTCTGTGAGGTGCCTGATGACTGTTGGAAAGGCAGAAATGAAGCATTTGATAAGAGGGAGGTGAAGGGTTTGTGTTCATCAGACAGGAGAACAAACAGATTCTTCCTGTGAGGAGGCCCTGGGTCTCCCRAGGGTACTTCTTTTCTACTGCTACTGTAACACAGGACCACAAACTCAGTGGCTGAAAGCATTGTCTTTTTTCAGTTCACCCTACCACAGGTTGTCTGCTCTGGGTCTCACAAGCTGCAACTGAGGTGTTGGCTGGGGGCTCTTACTTGGAGGCTCTGGGGAAGAATCTACTTACTCCAGCTCATTCAGATGGTTGGCAGAATCCAGTTCCATGCTGCTGCAGGACTGAGGGCTTTGTTTTCCTGCTGGCTGTTGTCCAGGGCTCTTCTCAGACTTCCAGTCTTGCGTTCCATCATCTGGCACTCTTTACCTTCAAAGGCTCTTTCTCTTTTGACTTTCAGAACCCCGGAAAGTACCTGGGAACTATCTAAATAATTAAGGTTCATCCTCTATTTTAAGATCAGCTGATTAATAACCTTAATTACAACTACACAGCCCCTCTCACCATGCAGTGTAATTACTCAGATAATATGATCACTTTTACAGTTTCTGGGTATTTAGGTACAAAATCGTGGAGAATCCTGCAGGGTCAAGCTAAGTGAAACCCAGGGAAGGGTGAAGCATCTGCCTGTTCCTGTGTTAGAGCAGAAGGCACCAAGTTGAAAGACATAGATGACCTTTCACCCTGGCAAACCCCCTGGACAAAAGATGCAGGTTGGTTTGAAGTCAGGGAGGACGCGGAGGACATCTATGCTGGGTGAAAGGGTGCTACAGATGGAGAAAATGACTTGAGCCCACCTCCGGGTGGGCTCCAGCAAGGGACCTGAGGATGAAGAGGAAAGACCTGAGATGAGAGGGTTGTCAAAGTAATGGGAACAGATCCGTGTGTGTGTGGGGGGGGGGGGGCAGGCCAGTTGGAGGGTGCAGAGTCTGAACAATGAGACCAGGCCTAGACCTGTCGTTGTCTCTGGGGTCTGCGTGCCTGCTGTGCCAGTGTGGAGGGCCTGGTACCACCGAGTGACATCCCCACCTTTTCACTTTCATTTTGAGCTCGGGTTTCACTAAACTGCCCAACTGGCTTCGAACTGGCAATCCCACGTGGCTGGGGTTACAGGCCTGCACCGCAGAGCTAGGCCCCACCTTCAGTTTCCCGGGCAGAAGGCGAGCTGAGTGACAGCTCTGGCCCCGCCCCCACCCGTCACCAGGGCGACGCCGGAAGCGGGCCCGGGTCCTAGATCCCCGGCGTCGCAGCCGCCCCGGCTTCAGCGATGTTTTGTTGGTTCGTTTGTTTCCAGCTCTGACGAGAGCCGGAAGTGCGGCCTGGCGGCGGCGGCCGAGAGCCACAAAACCTCAGGAAACGTGCTGCGACCTAGCGCTCCGCCCGCACGGCCACGGCCGCGGCCTGGGGTTCCGCCGGCGTTCTGGCCCGGAAGTGCGGCCTGGGAGTTGGTGAGCGGGAGGCGGCCACTGCAGGGCCAGGAGTCGGAGGTGGGGTCGGGCGGGCATCCCCCTGCCGCCGGGTCGGCAGGGAGGCCGGGACGTGCGAGGGGAGGGGCCCCGGGGCTGGGCTCGGAGCGCACGCGGCGGACGCGAGGGGGCGCTGCAGGACCGGAGCGCCTCGCAGGCCAGGGTGCGGCGGGGGACCTGGGGTGGCGGGGGCTGCCGCGCCAGCGGTCGCAGCGGGTCGGAGAGGCGGCTCAGCGCGCAGGGCAGGCGCCAGCAGTGGTGCCCAGTGCGGGACCCGGCTCTGGGAGTCAAGCGCGTGGGCGAAGACTGGGCTACGAGTGTGCGACGCCAGTCCCAGGAGGGTGGGCCTTTGTGGGGAGGAACCCAGGACCGCCCCGCGGCCTCCGGGCTGTGGAATCGGAGCCCTTCAGGGAGCAGGGCGGGGCGGGCTGGAAGAAGAAAGGGCCCAGGCCTCGCGGGTTGGTGCGCAGATTTGTGCCCCGCCCTGCTCTCCTCTACCCTGAAGAATGGTGCGGCTGGCGGAGACCCGCCTTTGTAGATGCCAAGGCTTGGCTTTGAGGAATTGGTTCAAGGCCTTAGAGGGTTCTGAGGTCAGAAGGGTCCTGGTCTGTTCGGTCCGTACAGGCTCCCTCTGGCTGATGTGTTGGGGAATAAACCTGGAGGTGGCGGATGTGGAGGGAACCAGCAATGTTACTTCATCGGTAACTGGTGCCTAGTGGCTGGGGGGTCTTGCTGGAAGATGGTTCTTGCAAATGGGGAGGCAAGAGTTGAGACTGAGACCCCCAACAGATCTTTAGGGTATAGGGGCAGGATTAAGTGGGGCTCCACTCCGGGGTGGTGACCCTGSAGAGACAAGTTGGTGGAGAGTAGACAGTCTCAGGGTTTGTCGATTCTCCCTCTTAGACCAGAAATCTGTACATTCTGGGTGTAAGATGACCAGAGTAAACTGTCCTATTCCAGGGACAGAAAAACAGGCCCTCTGGACACCTGCTTGATGGGTGAAGTAGCAATTTCTCAGAATCCCCTGAGGGTACCCCCCCTTCTGGTGACTGAGGCTGGGCAGTGYCTGGATCATAGGGTCACAGTTCACAAGAAGCATGAGGATTGCTCAGCCAGGCTCCTTACATGGCTTCACACCGGCTGTGGCCTGCTGGTGCTTCACCCTTACCCATCCAGTCACATGGTTCATATATAACGCCTCTCTATGTCACACACCCTGGGGCACCTGCCCAGCTGTTGACCAGCTTTCTACCTTCACTCCTATGTGACCAGGCATACTCCAAATGGATCTGACCAGGAGGCAGATGTGCCACCTGTGAAGACCTACATATTCCAGTTAATGTAACCCCATTCTGGTACAGCATTCCTGGGTCAGCACAGGAAATTAGCTGCAGTAAGTTGGAGAAGTAGGAAAGGGAAGACCAAAAAAACAGGCAGAGTGGGGGCCACAACTAGCTGAATGAACACTGGCTAGTGTTTCTGTATGAGGATCTGCTAAGTGAGGCAGGGCAGCTGGTCCTAAATGGGGGTTCCTAGCTCCTCTACACAGAGCTACACATTCAGAGGGAGAGTGGAGGCTACTTAAGGATGGAGATATATATATATTTAGAACTGGGGGTTGAACCCAGGGGCACTTAACCACTGACCCACATCCCCAGCCCTTTTCATATTTTATGTAGATATGGGGTCTCCTTGAGTTGCTTAGGGCCTTGCTAAGTTGCCGAGGCGGCTTTGAATTTGAGGTCTTCCTACCTCAGCCTCCCCAGTGGCTGGGATTACAGGTATGCACCTGGCTACTTAAGGATATTTTAACTGGGGTGGAGTGGGCCAAGAAGAGGAGGAGGTAAACTCTGCACCTTCAGGGAGGGGGAGCACCTGGGAACTGATATTCCTAACCCTTTTCCAGAGGGATGGGGGCTGTGGAGGCAGAGGGCATTGCAGAAGAAGACTTGAGGTGGCTGAGTCCTGTGTGTTGTGAACCAGGACTGTGAGGGGCTGCTGGGGAGATATGGGGTGGGCAAGGTCTAGAGTGCAGTGCACCCTTGGCCCTGCCCTGAACACTGGGAGAGGAGAGTCCTGGGATGACCTCCTCTCCCGGTTCTGTTGTCCTAGGTAGATGGCGGCTGCGGAGGCAGTGCACCACATCCACCTGCAGAACTTTTCTCGATCACTGCTTGAGACCCTCAATGGACAGAGGCTTGGTGGGCACTTCTGTGATGTAACTGTGCGCATCCGTGAGGCTTCCTTGCGAGCACACCGCTGCGTGCTGGCTGCAGGCTCCCCCTTCTTTCAGGACAAGCTGCTGCTTGGCCACTCGGAGATCCGCGTACCACCAGTGGTGCCTGCACAGACTGTGCGCCAGCTGGTTGAGTTCCTCTATAGCGGCTCCCTTGTGGTGGCACAGGGTGAGGCTCTGCAGGTGCTCACAGCTGCGTCAGTGCTTCGCATCCAGACAGTGATAGATGAGTGCACACAGATTATCGCCCGTGCTCGTGCCCCAGGAACCCCTGCACCAGCCCCCCTGCCAGCACCGGTGCCCCCACCGCTGGCACCTGCACAGCTGCGCCACCGCCTGCGTCACTTGTTGGCTGCACGACCCCTGGGGCACCCTGGTGTAGCACATAGCCGCAAGCAACGCCAGCCTGCACGTCTTCAGCTGCCTGCACTCCCAGCCAAGATAGAGGGTCCTGATGCAGACCCAGTACTTCCAGTCCCTGAGGATAGAGGTGAGGATGAGGAGGACACCGATGGCGAAAGCGACGGCGAGGATGGTGAAGGTGGTGGCCCAGGTGAGGGCCAGGCGCCCCCTTCTTTCCCTGAYTGTGCAACTGGCTTCCTCACTGCTGCTGCGGACAGCGCTCGAGAGGACCCACCTGCCTCTGCGGGCCTCACTGACTATGGCAGTGCAGGCAGAGATTTCCTTCGCGGGGCTGTGGTGGCCGAGGACGTGTTTCCAGAAAGCTATGTATCTGCTTGGCACGAGGAGGGTGGCACTGCCACAGAAGGCTGTCCTGCTGAGACCCCTGCCCCACCTGACTGCTCCCTGGCAGGACCCCGGGTGCCTGGCTTGAAAACCTCAGGAATGCCTGTAGCACTTTTCCCCTTTCACCTGGGCACGCCGGGGCCACCCCAGCCAACCCCTCCTGCACCATCAGGGCCAGCTCCGGCACCCACATCCACCTTCTACCCTGCACTCCAGCCTGAGGCCGCCCCCAGCACTCAGCTTGGGGAAGCCCTGGCCCCGCCTGTGGCACCTGCCAGTGCCCCTTCAGGTCCCCCTGTCCGTGTTCCCGGAGCAGAGCAGCCTGCCTACGAGTGTAGTCACTGCCGTAAGACGTTCAGCTCTCGGAAAAACTACACCAAGCACATGTTCATCCATTCTGGTGAGCCAAGGGGATCCGGGAGGACCACCTTTCTCAGCCCCTTGGTCACTGGAGATTCAAGCCCTAGGGGCAGTTGGGCACTGATGTGGTTTTGTTACTCTTGTGTTACCCCAGGGGGGCTGGAAATTGAACCCTCCAAATATGAGGCATGTGGGGAGGGAGTCTCCTGAGTAATAGGTACTCTTGCCTGTGTCTTCCCCTCCTGTTTTGGGGGATGGGGAATCCTGAGCCTGGATTAGGGTGCACACCTATAAATCCAGGCCTTTGAAAAGTTTGTGGTGGGGCCTGGAGGGGGGCAGGAGAGATGGAGCAGGGATTGGGGTATGGGGGTAGAGCTCCAGGTAGTCTCCTACATCTCTCCAGCTGTTCACTAGGTGGTTGGGGCTTGAGGTACAGTCAGGTGTGTTCCCTGACCTAGGAAGAGTGGGGGAAGCTGGCAGAGGGCAGCTGAGTGAAGGCTGAGGAGTAGCCCTTTGGGCTGGAGTTTTAGGAGAAGACATAGCCACAGTATGTGAACCGCACAGGCCCCTAGGGGAACCAGGCCTCAAAGACCATGGGGAACTTCCTTCTGATCTTGGCCAGGGAGGTGTCTCCTCAGGGCCAGGGAGCAGTAGAGCAGGAAGGTGGCCTGGGGTGGTGGTGGGTAGGTCCTGGGTAAGGTTGTTTCTCGGGGACTGGGTTGGGACAGGAGTATGAAAAGCAGAAGCTGGCCAGCCGGTAGAGCTGACCATTGTCACGAAAACCAAAACCATTACAGTGGGACTGAAGCCAGAGGCTCTTCAGGGGCCAGAACTTGGGATTTGACTTTGAGGTGTGGGAAAGCCGTCGGTGTTGTCTCAGTTGGGGAGTGACCGAGATGTCACAGTTCAAAATCTCCATCTGGTTGCTATCCTACCCGGCACAAGGGAGCTGGGCGATGGGCATGCAGAATGCTGCCAGGACTCCAAGGTAGTGCCGACCTTGCAAGACATGTGTGACCTAAGCCAAGTGCCCAAGCCTGGTTGGTCTGGAGACAGTCAGCCTCACCCCACCCCAGCAGGCGCTGCCCTGCAGTCCCTTGGTACTGAGATAGACGTTGTCAATGCATGATGACTGGAGAGCCTAAAGTCTGCCTCCCCTGCAGTCCAGGGTGATGAGTGCAGCCTCTCACCCTGGGGACAGTGTCGTGGCAACAGTCAGGATTCTGACTGGGGATTCCAGCAGGAAGGGGCAGATGTGTCCTGATCTCTCCTTGTGTAGGCATGCTGGGCCTTACTAGACTGTCCTTAAAATAGTAACTGGCAAAGCGGGTGCAGTGGCACACCTCTTTAATCTCAGCAACTCAGGAGGCTGAGGCAGGAGAATCACCAGGCTAGTCTGTGCAGCTTAGTGAGGCACTATCTCAAATACATTAAAAAGGTYAGCGGGGCACCGTGGTGCACATCTGTAATGCTCGTGGCTGGGGAGGCTGAAACAGGAAGATCTCCAGTTCAAAGHCAGYCTCAGCAATGGTGAGGCACTAAGCAACTCAGTGAGACCCTGTCTCTAAATAAAATTCAAAATAGGGCTGGGGGTGTGGCTCAGTGGCCCAGGGTCCCTGAGTTCAATCCCTGGTACCCCCCCCCCCCAAGAAAAAAAGGGCTGGAGATGTAGCTCAGCCGTACAGCGCACCTGGACTCAATCCACAAAATAAAATCAAAAAAAGTAAAAGGAAAAAAGAATAGTGATTGGCAGAGAGTTCAGAAGGCTCTACCTATACAGGGCCCAGTGTTAGGGAGGAAGGTCCTGAAAGTCCGGGGAGTTCCCAGTGGATATTCCAGGGCAGGGTTCCCTGCTGGGGCATACCTGCCAGACAATGGCACCCTTGGATGAAGATGTGGGTCCAGGAGAGGGGCTCCCTGTGGAGCAGGACTCCAGAATTGGGAAGTTTCACTTAATCCTGGGGGGTAATGGCTACTTAGGGAGGGGAGAAGACCAGAGCCCCTGCCAACAGGTGCCTGGGAGAGCTGAGTGGTCTGACGCATATGTACTGCCCTCCTTGTCCCCAGGTGAGAAGCCACACCAGTGCGCAGTGTGCTGGCGATCCTTCTCGCTGCGCGACTACCTGCTCAAGCATATGGTCACACACACTGGCGTGCGCGCCTTCCAGTGTGCAGTTTGCGCCAAGCGCTTCACACAGAAGAGCTCCCTCAACGTGCACATGCGCACACACCGGCCGGAGCGCGCTCCCTGCCCCGCCTGTGGCAAGGTCTTCTCGCACAGAGCGCTGCTGGAGCGCCATCTGGCTGCGCACCCTGCGACCTGACGCAGGATCTGGCTACACCCGCCAAGAATCGACTGCGCCTCACAGCAGTTGGCTCCTGCTGCCTTCCTTCACCACCACTCCACTCTTCCCTGCCCTATCCCTTTCTCCAGACTGAACCTGGGGCCCAGCCTTGGTGTAGACAGGGCACAGGGCCTGCTCGGTCACTCCTCTCTTCCACGTCCTTGRACCCTCTAGGTAGGGCAAGGTCCACAAAGGGGACAGTCAGAGACCTGGCCACTAAGAACTGGACCATTTCCAGTCTGAAAGTAGGCTCACAGGCCCTAGGAACCGGGTCCAGGGTTTAAATCTCTGGTGTTGATTTGCGTGCGCCTCCCATTAGCTGTAGGGTGGGGATACAGCTCTGTCTGAATATTGGTTGAATGATGTCCTTGGGCCCCACTTGGCACTACCCCTTCCTCATCCAGGGCCTGAGAAAGCCCAGATGGACCCATCATGGAATAGGTCAGACCTTGGAACTCTCACTTCTCACTTTATAATAAAAGACTCTGGTCAGTGCACACTGCCATTGTAGACTGGCTGGGCTAGGAACATCAGGCTTCGGCATCCACGTTTCTGGGCAGCACCCTGCCATGGGATTCTGTTCTGGGTATCTAGAGTGAGTTGCATATACGACTGAAGGTCAGTTCACTCAGAGCTGTAGGCCAGGCCCTCCATCTGAAATGAGGGGAACCCCAAAACTCACCCAGGGGGTCCTTTGGAGCCAGGCTGCTTGAGGGTATATGAGCCCAGGATACCTACCTTTGTTCCCTTTGTTACTGGGTGCCAAGTACTAGAGTGCAGTGTGAATTAGTTGGCCCTGGGGGAAGGTGCAAGAGCAGCCAGAGACCCTAGGGCTGGGTGGATGAAGGTGGCCACCCAAGTTAAGATGATGTCACAGGACCTTGCATCAGACCTCTGCCTACCCAGAGGGGTCATACTCCCCCTTCTCCCACCTCCAGTGCACTGACAGCTCCTGGATTGGGTACCCTGCTTTAAGGATTTGGATCCAGTGGAGGGGGTTACAGCCAGAAGGGCCATGCCCTAGTCCTACTTGTCACTGCCTCTAGAGGCAAGGGGAAACCACACATCACAGGAAGAATTAAACTTCTGAACCCCAAGCTCAATTCCTGTTGATGTGGAGGTGAGGCAGAGTCCCAGTGCAGGCCTGTGGTGGACAGCTAGGCTTGAATTCAGGCATTGCAGGTGTTTATTTTCTGAGCTATTGCTGTGCACCTGGCAGGCAGGAGGTTAGGGATGCCTGATCACTGGGAACAAAAGGCTTAACCCAGCAGAACCTCCTCTCCCCAAGGGGTTAGTGAGTACTRCAGGAGGACCACCCAGTGAGGTCAGCAGAGCACCTGAAGCTTTTCCATTTGACTTGAGTGAAACACTCCCAGTGCTGGGATTTCTGACTGTCTCCCAAATGCCTGGAATATAGTAAGCATGGATGGAAGGGGAAGGAGGCAGTTCCCAGCCCTGGAATGTGTGGGCTCTCTCGTCCAGCAAGGAGGTCCATGGAATAGGTAGAATAGAGGGTGGCTGCAGAGTCGCTAATCAAGACCTCCGGAGACCAAGCTGGAAGCAGGTCTGACTTTATTGCACAGTTACCATGTATATGTAGTCAGGCAGTAGCTAGGCAGATGACAGGCAGCCACCAATRCAATTTCTGCAACTGTCCTGGCAGCGACCAGTCTAGGAGTGGGCCATGGAGCAAGCACAGGGACTGCAGCACAGGGCCTCACACCCAGGGCTGTGCCTATGGGGTAAGTGGTTTGCTACTCAACACCCTTCACGTACGCCATGTATGCAGTACTCCATATACTTGTCCCCACACTGGAAAGAGAACTAGACAGGCAGGACAAGCAGAAAGGAGACTGGCATTTGTGCTCAAGAAGAGAGACCTGGGGGCCCTGAGGCCTGCAGCAGAGAGGGGGATAGGCCTGGTAAACAGGCAGGAAGGGCTGGGACTAGACACAAGACCAGGAAGGGAAAACAAATAGGAGGAACAGAGCTGAGGGCGGAGCAGCCACTGTCAGTGCCTGGGCCATCATCTGGGGGAGGGGTGGACAGGCTGCTCTGAGGGCAGGAGGCCAAGGCCAGGAAACCCAGGGACAGAGGTGAGAGTGCATTCCACAGCCACTTCTCCAAGGACAGAGCTGGTGCCATGGGTATCAGGCAGTGGCTGGCCTTTCTGCTGTTCTTGCTGCTACTGCTGTGGGGTCTGGAGCAGCCCATATGGCTACCTGCTGTGGCACTGACCCTGCGATGGCTCCTGGGAGACCCTACATGCTTCTTGCTGCTTGGCCTGGTGGTATTGGCACAGCCCTGGATCGGCTCCTGGATGTCCCACTGGCTGAGCCTGGTGGCTGTGCTTCTGACACTGATTCTATCACCTGCACGGCCCCCCCCAGGGCTACGCTGGCTGCCTGCAGATATGGCCTACTTGGCCAAGATCCTCTACCTAGGATGGAACATCAGGACACAGTTGAGGCGACAGCCTCCCGACACCTTTGTGGATGCCTTCGAGCGACAAGCAAGAGCACAACCTGGTCGGGTGTCCTTGGTGTGGACAGGGCACAGGGCCTGCTCGGTCACCATTGGTGAGCTAGATGCCCAGGCCTGCCAGGCAGCATGGGCCCTGAAGAATGAGCTGGGCAACCCCACAGGCCTGGGTGTCAGGAAGCCAGCTGCCCTCCTGGTACTGACTTCCCAGGCCATTCCTGCTCTGACCGTGTGGCTGGGGCTGGCCAAATTGGGCTGCCCAGTGGCTTGGATCAACCCACATGTCCGGGGGACACCCCTGGTGCACTCTGTGCTGAGCTCTGGGGCACAGCTGCTGGTGGTGGACACAGGTGAGGGCCCCAGGGCCAGTGGAGGAGGGAAGGGGATAGGAGCAAGGGTTGGACTGAAGGTCAGAAGTTCTGGTGGGGGGTAGGAAGAGAGCCCTTTGCTCCCGTCGGCTCATGTCACAGATAATTAGGGTCAAAAGCTGGCATAATTGGAGACTAATCCTGGGGCCAATGGTTATAATTTTTCCAAAATTACTGTTTCAATCCTTCTTTGCAAAAAAGAAATAAAATTACTAATTATGGAATTCTTTGCCCAAGAATGCTAGTTGCTGTCTGCCTCTGGGTCTCGGGTACCCCGCTTGACCTCACAGGTAGGCTCTGCCTCAGTTTTCCTCTGGCCATTCCTGCAGATCTCAAGGAGAACCTGGAAGAAGTCCTTCCTGAGCTGCAGGCTGAGAACATCCGCTGCTTCTACCTCAGTCACGTCTCCCCTACACCAGGTGTGGGGGCTCTGGGGGCTGCCCTGGAGGCTGCTCCTTCTGACCCCGTGCCTGCTGACCTGCGTGCTGAGGTCACATGGCAAAGCCCTGCCCTGTTCATCTACACCTCAGGGACCACCGGTGAGGGTACCCCGCAGCCCCAGCCCYGCCTCTGAACTCTCACCTGACACCACCCTGACATGTCCTGTGCCTGCCACTTGTCCTCTGACACCTGCCTTCTGATTCAGACACCTGGTCTTGACTCTGATTCCCAGTGAGATTTGGGTGGTCAATGCAGAAATCCTGCCTCTGTCCAATAAATAGAACTGAAACCCTACTGTTAGTCTTTACCTATTACTCCCTATTGGGATTCAGCCTCAGAATACAGCCACAGATTCCTACTTGACTCCTCTGAGGCCTTAAGCCCAGTGCCTGACTGCAGAGCTGCCCCTCTGTTATGGCTCTTCTGTGCTATCCTTTCACCACTCACCTCCCACTCCTTCCTTCCAGGGCTCCCAAAGCCAGCCATCCTCTCACATGAGCGTGTACTACAGATGACCAAGATGCTGCCCTTTTGTGGGGCCACAGCTGATGACGTGGTCTACACTGTCCTGCCTTTGTACCATGTGATGGGGCTTGTTGTTGGGATCCTCAGCTGCTTAGAGCTTGGTAAGCCCTTCTCTGAAAATCCCTCCAATCAGTGGAACCATTGAAGTGGGTGTCAGGGTGGGGTGGTCCAGGCRACGACCCCATAGGTTACCCAGTACCCCAGGTTCTCGTGTGTGTGTGTATGGGTGGCTTGGGGATTAAACTCACTGAGCTATACTCCAATCCTTTTTATTTTTGCTTTTGAGATACATTCTCACTAATTTGCTGATGCAGGCCTCAAACTCACAATCCTCCAGGCTTAGTCTCCCCAGTCGCTGAGACTATAGGCATGTTCCCCTGTGTCTAGCTTATATATAAATATTTTTWAAAAATATTTAYTTTTTAGTTTTAGGTGGACACAATATTTCATTTTTATGTGGTGCTGAGAATCAAACTCACGCATGCTAGGCAAGCACGCTACCACTTGACCCACACCCCCAGCCCATATAAACATTTTTATCACAGAAATACATGTTTGTTTGTTTGTTTTACTAGGGATTGAACTCAGAGGCACTCAGCCACTGAGCCATATCCCCAGCCCTATTTTGGATTTTATTTAGAGACAGGGTCTCACTGAGTTGAGTTGCTTAGCACCTCACTGTGCTGAGGCTGGCTTTGAACCACAATCCTCCTGCCTCAGCCTCTTGAGCCACTGGGATTACAGGCATGGGCCACCCTGACTGGCTTAAATATATGTACTTTTTTAAATTCTTTTTTTTTAAGTTGTAATTGGACACAATACCTTTATTTTATTTATTTTTATGTGGTGCTGAGGATTGAACCTAGGGCCTTGCATGTGCTAGGCGAGCGCTCTACCACTGAGCCACAACTCTAGCCCCTAAACATGTGTATTTTTGAGACAGAATCTTGCTTGCTAAGTCACTCAGACTTGTCTTGAACTCCTGGATTCAGGAGAATATCTTGCTTCAGCCTCCTGAGCAGCTGGGACTACAGGTGTGTGCCATGATGCCCAGCTTCTTGTGGAAAATTTCAAACACACAAAAGTACAGATAGTTTGCTGGTGTCTTATATATATCCTTGCCCACCTTCAACAGTTGTCAACAAGGTGCCAGTTTTATTTCTATATGTACTCTTCTTTCCAGATTATTTTAGAGGAAATTCTAGAATTTTTGTTTGTTTTGTGGTACCAGGGCTCAGCAACTTAGCCATCCTCAGCAACTCAGTGAGGCTAACTTAGCCAGACCCCGTCTCTAAATTTAAAAAAAGAAAAAAAAAAAAAAAAAAAAAAGAACCGTAACCATTTAGTACTATTTTGTGTCAAGTCCATATTCAAATTTCCCCGATTGCCTTTTTTTTTTTAGTTGTAGATGGACATAATACTTTATTTATTTTTATATGGTGCTGAGGATTGAACCCAGTGCCTCACACACACCAGACAAGCACTCTGGCACTGAGCCACAACCACAGCCCTCCCCAATTGCTTTTTTACAGTTAAAGTCTCCGTGTTTCCTTTACTTGTTAGGTGTCCATTCCTCTTTCCTCCAGGATTTCCTGTAAGATTGAAAGGCCTTCTAAAGGCTTTTTAGGTTCAGTTTCTGCTTTGTTTTGCTATTTGTTCACATGCTGGGGCTTGAATCTAGGGACTCATATATACTAAACAAATTCTCTACCACCGAACTACACCCCCAGCACTGATTTCTATTATTCCTGACAAGAATCTTGGTGATTCCTCATTTGTCACACCGGGGGCACTTATGTCTGTTACCTGCCTTAGAGAGGTTGAGATGGACTGGGAAGTCTCTCCATCAAGGTTCCCTAGTTGTTTCTTTTGCAATTCAGATGTTTCCTTAGGGATTGGAAGCAAAACTGCCAATTTCAGTGACCTGGGTTGTGTTTTCACAGAGAGCATTGTTACTTTTCCCCAAAAAACACAGTCTCAGAGAAGACACATTTGTTACCTCACCAGGCACACAAGCAGCTACCCCTTGGGTGCAGGATGATGAACCAGATGTCATATAGGGATCAGGAGGGAAGAATCACTTTTCTGGAGTGAACACAGTGGCCCTAAATATTATCACTAATCCATGTGCCATCAGCCAATACTATATGCCCTCCTACCAAACCTCCCAATTACTCACCTTCCTCCTCACCCATTCTCCCATCCATCTCTCTACCTACTTACCTGTCCATTCATCCACCCTCACACCTATCCATCCATCTTTCTATTCACCCATCTATCCATGTACCCACCCACCCATCCATCCATGCATTCCCCAATCTATCTACCCACCAAGTCACCTTTCCACCCATCCACCATACCCATCCTCCCACTTACCCTTCTATTTTACTAGTCATTCACTTATCAAATTTGAGAATAATTAATCGCCAGCCCTTATTTGGCAGTGTTTACCTTATACCAGGTACTGAGTTTTGCACACTTCTGGAAACAAGACTTGAATCCAGGCCTCCCTATACTCTTCTCATGGGAGTAGTCCTGCTGGGCCAAGACACAGAAATGAGATTGACATTGTCCCATTTTCTAACATGCCACAATCACACATTCAAAGCAGTTTCTCACAGTTACTTGCAAGCATGATTTGAAACTCACTCCTTCTCTTCCTCCCAGGAGCCACCTGTGTCCTGGCCCCCAAATTTTCTGCCTCCCGCTTCTGGAATGATTGCCGGCAGCATGGTGTGACAGTGATCCTGTATGTAGGCGAGATCCTGCGGTACCTGTGTAATGTGCCCCAGGTGAGGCTCTAGGATGAGGTTTCATGTTGAATATTCCAGGCATGAAATCCCAGATAATATCCCAAGTAGAATTCTTAGATAAGATTCAGGTACTGGTACGGGTTGGTTGTTTCGTCCCACAACTAAACACTCAAGGTCACTCCAGGTGAACTGGGCTGCATGAAATAATCGCACAGAGACAGAGAAATACCTTTTTCTTTGGGTCTTGTGATGGCTCCTCTGACCTTAGGGGTCTGTGGAAAGAGAGAGAGGCACATGCTGAACCCTTTATTGGGGAGAAGCCATTCAAATGAGGCCAGGGGTCAGGTTTCAGGGGGTTGAGTTTAGCTTTGTGTTGTCTACTGTCAGCAGGCTGACTGACATCTAGGAAGGCCATGCCCATCTCATGAGCTGTGTAGGAATCATAGGCAGAGCAAGCGAAAAGACCAGAGCGAAGCTCGCCCAAACAGAGGGGCAACGTGGGTTCAGTCCACTTTGTGTGCTCGGTGCTCATAGTTCACACACGCAGCCCATGGCTGGCTTGYCAYATCTCCACATTCTCATCGCTCAAGGCTAAGGGGCTCTTGGTTCCTACATGGCAGCTCCCGACAGTTGGTGGTGGCACCTTTGGTCCTATGGGGTGTAGCTCAAAGGTAGAGCATGCATTTAGCATGTGTGAAGCCCTGGGTTCAATCTCCAGCACCTGAGAAAATTCACATGTTGAACTTAGCAAGGTTCCTCAGGTAAAACATTATCTGGGCAAATGCCCAGATAATGAATTATACACAAGGTTGGGGAACTTTTGATGATTAGCTTGGGCAGGTGAGTTTACCAGTGTCATCATTTGAAAAATATGGGTAAGAATAGCCCCTACCTGAGGGRGTATTGTCAAAATTAAATGAATTAAATATATGTAAAGTGCCCAGATAGGGTGTAGCTCAAGGGTAAACTCACATCCTCATACAGAGCAATAAGGTACGGTTCCCAGGTAACTATCTCTAGGCAAGGTCCCCAGGTATCCTTCCCAGTTAAGTTTCAAGGTAACTCAGAGAAAGGCTTCAGGTAACTGCTCAAGATGAGGCTTTAAGTCACTCCCCTGGTTACCTTCAAATAAAGGTTCCTGAGTAAGCCTTCTAGGTAAGGCTCCCTTCTAGATTACCTTAATTCTAGATTACCTTCTCGGTAAGGCTCCCTTCTAGATTACCTTAATTCTAGATTACNCCTTAATTCTAGATTACCTTCTCGGTAAGGCTCCCTTCTAGATTACCTTAATTCTAGATTACCTTCTCGGTAAGGCTCCCTTCTAGATTACCTTAGGTAACCCCTGCCAGGTCAGAGTACCAGGTAACTTCCCCCAGGTGAGACCCCACATATTCCTCCCCAGTAAGACCCCCAGATGGATGTGGTCTCCAGTCAACCTAGGAGTGACCTCCAGTTAACTTTCCAGAGGCAAAGCTCTCAGGTAACTTCTACAGGTTACCTGCAATAAATATCCTTAAGAACCTCAAGTAGGGGCTGGGGTCAAAGCGCAGTGGTAGAGCACTTGCCTAGTACATGTGAGGCACTGGTTTGATTCTCAGAACTACATATAAATGAATAAAATAAAGGTCCATTGACAACTAAAATAATAATAATAAAGAACCCCAAGTAGATCTAGTTACAGGTCATCCCCCAGGATAACTCCTAAGATAAGGACCCAACATAGCCCCCCTCCCCTGGGAAAAGGTTCCTGGACATACTGTCTCCTCCTCACTCTTCTTGTGATGTCTTTGCAGCGACCAGAGGACCAAACACATACAGTCCGTCTTGCAATGGGCAATGGACTACGGGCAGATGTGTGGGAAACCTTCCAGCAGCGTTTCGGTCCCATTCGGATTTGGGAATTCTATGGCTCCACGGAGGGCAACATGGGCTTTGTGAACTATCCGGGGCACTGTGGGGCTGTGGGCAAGACAAACTGCCTCCTTCGAGTGAGTGGGTAGGGCACCCATGTTACAGTGGCCTTGAGGCTGACCCCAGAGGACCTCTGCAATGCCCCCTACCCTCCACCCCAGGTCCTGTCTCCCTTTGAGCTTGTGCAGTTTGACACAGAGGCAGCGGAACCTGTGAGGGACAAGCAGGGCTTCTGCATCCCTGTGGAGCCAGGTATGGAGGTAGTTTTCTCTGGTGTTGGAGCAGTGGACACCCTTGTGGACACTTGTAGTCTCCTCCTCCACCTCTGGAACAAGCGGCCCAAAGCCTTGAGATCGGTGCCAACTGGGGTGTCTGCAGCCCTCACTGATCTCCAGGCCCTGGGTTGTCTGACTACCACCTGGGGCCAGCTCCCCTGCCTCAGTCTCTTGCTCTCACGGTGGGTCTCTAGGTGTCTGAGTTGTTTTCTCGAGCTTTCTGCGGGGGTCACAGCCTCCTGGGCATCAGTCCCTTGTCCCGTACCTTCTTGTCTTCTCTCCTGGGGCCTCGCAAGGACCTGGCCCTGTCTTTCTTCCCACCGCCATTTTTTCTTGCCCATTCCTTGTCATCCTTTTCCTGTTTCTCACGGGTTCCCCCATGCCCCTCACTTCGCGTCGGTCTCCGGCGTCTGTCTCCTCGGGGTCTTTACTCTTCTCTCCCCTCCCCGTGCCAGGTGAAGAGCCCACCACCCTTGGGAAACTGAGGCGGGGGCTGGTGGCGGCCGAGGTTCGGGTTCCCTCTTTATACTCCTCCTCCTGCAGGGGAGGCCGGTCTCTTGTTGACGCGGGTCCTAGGCCGCCACCCTTTTCTGGGCTACCGCGGGCCCCGAGAGCAGTCGAAGCGGAAACTGGTGACGGACGTGCGGCGCCGGGGCGACSTCTACTACAACACCGGGGACGTCCTGGCCCTGGACGGCGCAGGCTTCCTCTACTTCCGGGACCGCCTGGGAGACACCTTCCGGTCGGGGCCGGGCTGGGGGCGGGGCCTCTGGGCCCCAGGGACCCGGAGGAGACGGCGCTGAGGGGGAGGCGGGGCTTCCCGCCTCCGGGGGCGTGGTCCCAAGCCCCGCCTCCCGCCCCTGCAGATGGAAGGGTGAGAACGTTTCCACCAGGGAAGTGGAGGGCGTGCTGTCGCAGGTGGACTTCCTGCAGGAGGTGAATGTCTACGGCGTGTGTGTGCCAGGTGCGAGGAGTTTGCTTGTTTTAAACCTCCAAAAGCTTTGTGGGCCGAGGGTGGTTATTTCGATTCTGCCAGGGGAACTGCCGTGACCCAGTGGTTTAATGTCCAGTGTCACAGCCACTGAGCAGAACTGGGCCAGGTTGGAGGGCCAGCCGAGAGTGACAGGTGTGCTTCCCAGGGTGCGAGGGGAAGGTGGGCATGGCTGCCGTGCAGCTGGCTCCGGGCCAGACTTTCGATGGGCAGAAGCTGTATCAGCATGTCCGTGCTTGGCTCCCGGCGTATGCCGTCCCGCATTTCATCCGTATCCAGGTAAGCCAGGGCGGCCGCCAGGAGTAGGTGGGCGAGGGATCACGGCCCAGGGTTTCACAGTCGTCGTCACCATCACCGCCCCGTAGGAGGTACTGGAGATCACCAGCACGTTCAAATTGGTGAAGCCCCGTTTGGTGCGTGAGGGCTTTGATGTGAGTGTCATCGTTGACCCCGTGTTCATACTGGACCACCGGGTCCAGGCCTTCCGGCCCCTGACAGCAGACATACACCAGGCGGTGTGCGAAGGAACCTGGAAGCTCTGACCACCTGGCCAGCACTGGGAAATACGAGGGGGCAGAGACCAATACCAACCCACTGTCACTATGGGCGAAAGATGCGACTCATGCAGTCCACGGGGAGAAATAAAGAATGTGCCCACGCTTCCGCCCTGGTAAATGATTTTTTCACTCAAATCACTCACTACAATTTCACTCTATCCGTTCTTAATCAAGAAAACAACAATCCTTAATGCTAGGCACTGCAATAGACATAATCAATTCACAGCAAACAATTCTAGATTGATTAATTCACAGCAAACAATTCTAGATTAATTCTAAGCAGTGCAAACACACTTAATCATGATTGCTAAGTTCAAGTGTCAGATCCAAAGTCTCAAGCCTTGGGCTGGGGCTACATAGCTCAGCGGCAGAGCACTTGCCTAGCATGCATGAGGCATTGGGTTTGATCCTCAGCACCACATAAAAATAAACAAAATAAAGGCATTGTGTTCATCTATAACTACAAAAAAAAAAAAAAAACCCTCTCAAGCCTTAGGCTCTAAGTCCAGCAGGTGCACACTCACTCAGACTGCGGTGATCCGGTTAGGAACCGAGGCAGGCTTCTCCTGGGGTGGAGCTGATGGCCAGTTAAGGAGAGGGTCCTAGGGACAAGATGCGGCTCTCACCAGGGTCAAGATGTGGTTGTAGAGTTTGAGAGTGGTGAGGAAACTGCAGAGGATCAGCAAATGACAAAAAGTGTTAGGGTGTCAGTCCAGGTCCTCATCAGGCTCTCAGAGTGAGGACATCCTTGTTGGCTGGATGGCTGAATGTCTGTTCATTTGCTCTATTATTTATACCAAATTTTGGGGCTTTTGACCCCCCTTTCAATCCTTATCAACTGCCACTGGGATCTCTCAGTGACAACTGGTCTGGTGGTTCCCAACCTAATCTTTCCACCTTTCTCTCTTATCAAGGCTTTTCCCTCTAATCAGTGAGGGCAGCCTGCCAGAGGCTTCACTCTGAGTTTATTAGGGTGGGAAGAAGTGACTTGTTTGTGGCTGAGGGCCATACTGGAGGGCTCCTTTAGGTGTGCCTGGTGAGACTGCATGATTCAAACTTGAGTTTTAAAATGGAGTTGCTGGGACTGGGGTTGTGGCTCAGCGGTAGAGAGCTCGCCTAGCACGTGCGAGGCCCTGAGTTCGATTCTCAGCACCACATAAAAATAAATAAATAAAATAAAGGTAAAAAATAAACTGGGGTTGCTTAGGTTCAGGCCTAAGGCCATCCTCACATCCACACCCCCCCCCATCTACATCTTGGACCTGCATAAAGCTGTTGTTATCCCAGCAGGGCTGGCAATGACTCTGGGTTTTGCCGCAGCGAGAATAAATTCGACTGTGAGCATAGAAGTCTGTGTCTAGCTGGATAAGGAAACAGAGAAGCAGCCAGGCTGATGGCGCATGCCTGTAATCCTAGCAGCAGGAGGATTGCAAGTTCAAAGCCWGCCTCAGCAATTTAGCAAGGTGCTAAGTAACTCATCAAGACACTGTCTCTGAAGGGCTGGGGATGTGGCTCAGTGGTTAAGTGCTGCTGGTTCTATCCCTGGTACGAAAAAAAAAAAAAAAGGAGGAGAAGAAGAAGAAAATAGAGAAAAGCCATATCCCCCAGTGCTCCCCAGGACCTTACTCCAGAGTCCTCTACCAGAGACCTGATTTKGGGGAGGAGGGGAGGTCCTGTTTGGACAAAGCCAAAGATATGAGAGCCGCTACTCCAAGAGAGTTTCGACTCCAACTGTGGGTCTTTTGGGCTTCCTGAGGCTACAGGGCCTGGGTGGGGCTGGTGTAGTAGAAGGGAAGGATGCCCTGTGACCTGCGGCCTGCAGGATGTGGGGAGAAATGTGAATAGGTGATCAGAAAAGAGTGGAGGGCACTGGCCTAGGACAAAAAGGGAGTGGACCGTTCCAGGCAGGGAGCAGCAACACGTGCAAAACCCTGAGGAGTTTTGGGCTGGTGGGGTGGGGAGGGCATGGAGCAGACATAGGGTCGCCAGCCTGGGCTCCTGAGAGAYATCCCCGACCCCAATCTGAAGCCTTTAGAAAATGACTGGAAGTGTTTCCTGGGGCGTTGCGGGTACTGCAGGCGGGGGGCTCCTTGTGGTCCAGGTGCCAGAACGCGAGTGCCCTCCGGTGCCGCCAGAGGTCGGTAGGTGCCACCTCCAGGGTGAGTTGCCCTCAGGGTCCTGGAAGTCCCCTCAGGCGCTTGGCGACCAGGTGCCAGGTCCCCAGGCTGGTCCTCCCATCTGGAGCACAGAGTGCCCTCTGGCGCGGTGGGAGCTGTGGGTGAGCTGGGCCTTCGCAGAAGCAGCTGTGGCTTTGCCTTCAGGCTGGTTCTTCCGTGGGTGATGCTACTCTCACCTCTGGGGCGCAGACGGTGACATAGCAGTAACACCTGCATTAAGCTGTCCTTGGCATCACTCTGGGTTGAAGTTCCTTTGAGCCCTTGAGGGAACCTTGGCCTCCTGATCCCAGGGCCCACAGGAGACCTGACCGGCCTTTGAAGCCAGCAGCAGAGCCGGTAGTAGCTCCACAAACTTCCGCCTGGTAGACATTGAAGCTTTGCGGGTCAACTTGGGGAGAGGACCGATGGTACCTCTCCAAGGTTCTGGTCCTGTCAGTTGGGGTCTGGCTTTGAGAATCTGTCATCTGTGCCTGCTGGGCATTGTGATTGACTCCCATTGTTGTCATTGACCCTTTCTCTGACTTTCCCAGCTGATGAGGTTGCTTCTGTTCCCCACAGAACTACGGATCCTTTACACACTGGTCTGAGATCTGGGCCCACTGGGGTCCAGCTCTCCTCCCCTGCAGAGAGTAGGTCATTGCATTCATTCACATTCCTGTTTGCCCCAGGAGGTCAAGAGCCTGGCAATGAAGGCATTTATAGCTGTGGAATATAATAGTAGAGGCTCAAACTTTGCCACCAACTGGGGCCCAGGGTTGTCTCCTGTTGCAGACACCATTTCTCTTAGGAAGGACTCTGGTCAACAAGGGAGCTAGAAGTTGTATGAACACAGCAGCAGGAGCTGGCCATTACTGTTGCAGCCTCAGCTTGCTCCCCCCTGGTACTAAAAGGTCTGATATCATTTGACAGTGGGCACCTAGCAACAGAGGCTGGCCCTCTGGATGGCTCTCCTGCCATGAATTTAGTAGGTCATTGTTACATTAAGGTCTTTGTACCCTCTGAAAGCAGATGGCAGCCCAGGGGGAGGTTGGAGTGCATGTATGAAACAGCAGAGGTGGTGCTGGCCACCTCCACTGTGGTCCTGTGCCTGTCATGACTTATGACCATCCATTGAGATCTGACAAGCACTGCTCTCCAGGCTTCCCCGAGCTCCTGCCCAAAGTCACCCTTAATCTCGTGCTACCCTTTGTCCAGGTATCAGGATTTTTGCMTGTACCACACTGTGAGTGGGTGTTAAATTTTAGTTGTCTGCAAATAAGTAATGTTGCATTCCTGTGGCAAGAAGTTTGAGGAGTCCTGGGCAGTGAGGCCATGTCATTGTATTTCCTACTATCAGAAAAAGCCAGCATTGGAAATGTGGACTGAGGAAATCCACCAGTGAACAGATTACCAGGTGATATGTTCCAGATGCAGAGGAGAGTGGGCATGTGTGGTAGATTTGAACCTGTCTTTGGATCCCAAAACTTGCAGCATGAAGAAAGGCAGCCACTTATTGGCTGCATGACCTGGGGCAAGTCCCTAGAGCCACCTGCCCCCACCCACATGCCTCAGTTTCCTCTAATTTAAAATGGGGCAGATGTCTACCCCATGTTTACCTTGAAGGATGTTTGAAAGGATGTTACCTTGAAGGATGTTTATCTAGAAAGGTGAAAGGGAATTTTCCCATAAGGGTTAACTAGTGTCTTTGCTTTGGCATCTTTGMTCTGATGTCACTCAGGGCCTCAGTTTCTTCATCTGCAGAGTGGACATGTGTCACATCCCATGACTAAACACTTAAGGTCACTCCAGGTGAACTGGGCTGGCATGAAACAATCACACAGAGACAGAGAAATACCTTTTTCTTTTTCTTTCTTTTTTTTTTAAGAGAGAGAGAGAAAAGAGAGAGAGAGAATTTTTTTAATATTTATTTTTTAGTTCTCGGCGGACACAACATCTTTGTTTGTATGTGGTGCTGAGGCTCAAACCTGGGCCACACGCATGCCAGGTGAGCGCGTTACCGCTTGAGCCACATCCCCAGCCTGAGAAATACCATTTTCTTGGGTCTTGTGACAGCTCCTCTGTTTATTTTTTTTTTTTTAAAGAGAGAGTGAGAGAGGAGACAGAGAGAGAGAGAGAGAGAGAGAGAGAGAGAGAGAGAGAGAGA